AATGTTTAATATTTTTATTTTATTCATATTAATGAAACGCTTCATATTTATTCTTAAAATAACGCTATATTGAGATGGAATTTAATCATTGACTCTACAATCGATATATATATATATATAATAAAAAGGCATATATCGGATGAATAAAAGATTTATTTGCCAATATTTCGGTTGGCGAAACGCCAACTTTTGGCAAGGCATTACATTTTATTTTTTTATAAACAAACTCAGCGCGGCATAGTGTTATAATATCACATTTGAAATTTTTATTTAAAAATACAAAGGAGGTGGGTTATACGGCGCTAATTTTTTTTTTATAAAAAATGTAATGCCTTGACGAAGGCAAATATTGGTAAATATTTTTTTTTTTCGATTCAATATATGCCCTTTTTATTTTCTGAAGAATTTGAATAAGGATTGCTATATTTTCAGAAATATATATATATATATATCGTTTTAAAAATAAAAAAGAGAGCGGTTAAATAAAATTAAAAAAAAAAGGTTTGAAGGCAGCAAAACGCCAGAGTTGTCGGAAGAAAGTTGGGTTAGAAAACAAATATTGCCAGAGATAAAAAAGAAAACTCTATATGAAGACAGGCCATTTAGTGGAGGAGAGAAAGTAATTCTTTAGAAGAAGTTTCTTTCTTAAAAGCATATTTATAGAGCAGGCCAATATTGGACAAAGTCCTGACAAAAAACCTGTACATCATCCTCTAATTTGCATCACTAAATATGACAAATATAGGTAAAAGAAGAGAAATATTTTTAACAAAGATTATTTTCAAATTATTTTGATGTCTATCTAGGATATGAATATATATTTTTCAAAGTTATTTTTATGGGACGATTATTTTTATTCCCTCTAAGAGGGATTGCATTTTACTCATACATGTTTTGATATTACAGTATAATTTTTTTTTTGATAAATAAATAGACTGTATTTAGTATTTCACAGAATAATATTATAGATATATATGTTGTGTGAAATATTTTGTTGTTAAGACAATTTATATAGCATCTAGTTATAGAGAACCAAGGATATAGTGAATATTTCCTTATAACAAACTTCAAATAATTCCAGATATATTATATTGTTTAAAGATAGCTATACTGACCCAAATGTTCAGTCTCTTTGTGGTTTTCATAGGAAGGTTTTACTACGCCTATTTATTGATGAGCTTTTTGTCAATATTTATGATATGAAAACTATGTCTTTTGAAATATTTCCTTGTATTTATCTTGTAAATTAAATGGTATCTGTAGAAAAGGAGTTCTTAGAGACAGAGTGATAGATTGAGATTAAAACTACTTTATTTTAATATTCATATAAGGTTATAGTGTTAAATATGAAATTAATATATTTATAATGAATAATATTAAATAATGATAAATATATGAATAAATAGATGAATTAGAGAGAGCCGAAAAAGATTCTTAATACATTCAGTAACATATTCTTCAGTCAGCTCTTCACTGAGCTTCACGTTGAGGTCACGAAGAGCTGCCTTTCCACTCCACTCTTTATTCTTCTAGATGAATTATATATATATATATATATTTTTTTTTTTTTTGAAGGATTGAATCTCAAAATTTTCTTTCAATTTTATGAGCAAATTGGTTCTGGGCGTCCTCTAACATTATTGTTAGAAGGAAAAATATAGAGAAATCTAGTTTCTATCACACTTTCAATATATCACTTCCAATTAAGGATGAGATTTTATTTACATTATTGAAAATTGTTAGTTGAGACACGGGTTCAACACTGGGCTGTCTGCAGGTCCCCCAGAGCCAGTCCAGAACTGCACGGTCCAGAATGCCACCGAGGACACCGTGACGGCGGAGTGTTCGGCGGGGTACAGCGGGGGACTGCCGCAGCTCTTCACGCTGGAAGTCCGTAGTGACGGGGACTCCATCCTGTTGGCCAACGTCACGTCCAGCGCCCCAGCCTTCAGAGTCCCCGGACTCCCCGCGGGGCAGACACTCCGGCTAGCTCTCTACGCCTCTAACGCCAAGGGCCGGTCTACCCCGCTAATCCTAACCGCCACCACGCTGCAGCCTCCCGCTCGCCTTACAGGTAAGTTCAGACACTTCAACTGACTGATTTCGAATTTGACCTATTCCTTATTTTTCCAAAGTTATACCGCACTATTCAAAGAAATGAAATCAAGTATATATTTCACACTCCATAATATTTCATATTTATAACCCGAGAACTAACAACTCTATATTTTCGATAAAACTGGGTCACGAGATTCAAAGTCAAAAGCCCTTAGTTCAATGTTTTATAATTCTCATGTTTTATATTTCTAAATCAAACGATATTCTAAAATTTAAATATATCTGTTTTTCAAATTATAAATCATAATTAATATATCAAAAACCTTACTCATTTTAAATAAAATAATATATAACCAATATATATTTAATAAGAAGTTTGTGAAAAATATCTAATTAGAAGTTTTTAAACAAAGAATTATCATACTATTTTCAACTCAATATTTGAGAACTTAATTTTTTTTGGTAAAAGCTAGATCCACAGAAGTAATATATAATAATAAATTGTAATTCATTACTTATTGCTCATATAATATTGTAGAAAATACTTACATTTTTTCTCTAATGAGTTGAAGTTTACTAATGAATAAGTATTTTTTTTTGCAGACCTTCTCTCATACACGAGATAATTTATTCAAAGAAAATCAATAAATATATAAATTTGAAATATTGAAATCATTTGTGATTGACGTTTTACTGAGATTTTACTGCCCGATAAATGGTATTTATGAAAATTATAGACATAAGATATTAGAATATAAACTTGAATTAACAATTAATGTGTCGAGGTATGATTATCGGAAATAAAATAATAGTTATAGGCGCAACATTTGAATTTCAAGAATAATAATAAGTTCTTCTCTCTATTCCGAACCTCATTGGAATCGAATTCTGGTTCACTATAGCTATGATTCTATAGTCAGGTTTACTATAGCCTTGGTTCACTATAGCCACGGTTCACTATAGCCACGGTTCACTATATTAATAGTTCACTATAGCCATGGTTCACTATATTCATGGTTTACTATAGCCATGGTTTACTATAGCTATGGTTTACTATAAACCATGATTCCTTATAGCCTTGGCTTTAGCCTGGCTTACTATTGTCATGTGTCACTATAGCCATGGGTCACTAAAGCCATAGTTATATATTGTCATGGTTCACTATAGCCTGGTTTACTATAGTCATGGTTCACTATGGCCATGGGTCACTATAGCCATGATTCAATATGGTCATTGTTCACTATAGCTATGGGTCACTATAGCCATGGTTCAAAATAGTCACAGTCCACTATAGCCATGATTCCCTATATTCATGGTTCACTATAGCCTGTTTTACTATAGTCACAGTTCATTATATCCATGATTCACTCTTTCTATGCTTCACTATACTTATGGTTCACTATATGATATACTAATTTAGTTCGCTATATTCCCTTTTCTGTTCAGCGAGGTTTTCCTGTATTTTCTATCAACAACTTGTATCAGATACTGGTATCATATAGCCATTTAAACATTATATTAGTATAGTTCCATTTGATACTACGCCATATAAATGAGAGAAACTAAATATTTGAAATAATAAACGATTTTAAATTAGAAAAAGATAATTAAATAGAGGCAAAAGAGAGAAGGTTACATTTAAACATCAACTTACAGTAATTAATCACATTCCTGACTTTTTCTGCGAGGAAAAGAATTTAATTGGAATTCTGAGAGAGTAAAGAGAAGGGAAAAAAGAAAGAAACCTAAATAGAAGTCATACAGTTTAATTAAAATGGCCATTCCTTATAAAAGATTTGCAATGTTTATAGAACACCGCAACATTTGTTTAATTATTATCACAGACCGAGGACTCTGTGAGGGATATTAAATCGGTGGTGCCATTAGGGTTTAGCAACACTGTTCCATTAGTTGCCGTAGCGCCAACAAACTTATCAGGCCCATTACGTTGCGGTATCCGAATAAAAGGATTCAATTTTTTGTGTCTCCCAACCATCTCATTAGAGCTGGGGCGAATCGATCGAAGAAAATGATGGAAATTGTGACCTGGCCCCACATTTTTATAGACTCTCAGAATTGCTTTTTATTTTATCCCACTTGGTATATAAAACTATCGGGAGAGTTGCTTGCTTAACCTTTTCTTAGCAGCAGACATATATTATTCGAATTATTTGCCTTTCTTCAAATAAATACTCATAACTCGTATATAAATTAAAAATTTTATAATCACGCGATTTCTCCTCCAAATTGTCTTTATAAATTTGTGTTATTCGAAAGTTTCGCCCTATGTATCTGCCTCTATTGCAATATCAGCGTTATATCGCCAGTTTAATATATGTCATCCTTCTATTATTTTATTGAGATGTTCTATTTATATATTCGTAAACTTGAAAATGAATTTTAGGAGAAGAAATTCAATAAATTATGGAAATATAAGTCTTCTCTCTTTTTAAGACAGTAGAGTTATCTATATTTGTTATAAATATGCACATGATACTATGTACAATGGGTATGGCGCCTCTGCCACCGCTGCAGAGTCATTGTCTATATTTGTTATGCCTATATATATATATTATTATTAAATTCTTTATAAATATCATGATTTTCGGATTTATTTAGCCTAACGAATAACTAACGTTCAAAATATAATGGTTTTCATTAATATTAAAAGAATGATTTTTCCATTTTTCTTTTCATTCAAAACGTAATATCTTATTATTAATATACGTTATTCACGAATAAATCATATATATACGTATATATACATAGCTACATAGCCATTTATATAAGCAGAATAACCTCTCTCTATATATAAAGTCAAGCCCTCTGATAGGTTAAACTAACAAAAATGCTGAGAAGCCTGACCATTGGGATAATTTCAAATTTTAATTTTTAAAAATAAAATACCGATAAGTATTTTAACAATTTAATACAAATAGTAAGGCTTATTAACTCGGTTGGTTAGAGGGTCGTGCTAATAAAGCGAAGGTCGTGGGTTCGATTCCCCTATGGGCCATATTTTTCTTGATACCCGAATATGATTGAGTGGAGATAAGAAAGAAGAAGAAGAATACAGATAGTTCAAGTTAAAGCATAATATTTAAAACTATAGACGATTAGTTATTAGTAGGAAATATTTATTATTCAATATAATTTTTAATATTTAATACAATATAATTTATATTATTCAATATATGTGTTATTCAATATTAAATAATTAAAATGATATATAGACATACACTTAAACTCCTTCAAAACGAACCGAGGGTATGATGAGTATCCCCATATACCAAATCTTAGATATTTATCTTTTTAGTTTTTTTATAGTGGACCATGGATACATTGAATTAATCACCATAGTGAAATGAGTGTTCTGTTCGATCAGGGTTTACTAGAAAATGGTTTCTCGCTGTATGTATTATTATAATTCATTGAAATATTTGTCCCCGTGATAATAATACATTTATTCACCAATATTGCCGCTAGGTGGCCGATCTGGCTGGACGTGCGTCATCTCGCTCCGCAAGTTTCGGTAAACACTGCCTAAATTTCTTAATTTATTTTCTAAATGCTTATGTTGAAATGTTTTAAATCGGTTTATAGTTTTTCTATTTAATTTTACCTTGCTTTTTTTATATAGTTCGAATTGTTTCTCTTTTGATTAAATATGAATTCTATGGTTAGGTTACTAAATTTGAAACTGGATGAAATTTTTGCATACTTTGAGAATAAATTTCAACAAAATCAAAAAAATTTGACTAAAAATGATTTATCATATCTTTCGACTATGTTAAAACAAACGAAAGATGGAATTTCTTCTATGGTTGAATCGGATAACGAGAACCTTTTGGCACAGATGAAGGAAACCGTCGGCAACATAGTGGAAGAGAAGCTCGGTGATATTCGAAGCGTGATCTCCTCGAAAGGATTATCTTATGCCCAAGTTACACAGAGAGATCATACACAGAAATTTATTGAGGAAAGACAACGGACCTTAAACACTGAAGCTACACTGCTCGCAGTTCCTCTAAATAATGAGCCTATTAACAACATAGCTCAGGCAATTTCAACTAATATAAAAAAGTTACGAGAAAACGGTAGTGGGATACGAATTAATAAAATTATTAACACCAAAAATGCAGTAGTAATAAAAACTCCTAGCGACGAAGAGGCTAAACACTTGTTAAAGGAACTGAGCATGGCGGCGGAATTGAAAGCAAATAGTAAAATTTTTACCCCGCAACCTAGAGACCCAACAATTATTATAAAAAATGTCAGTAAATTAACGGAAGTTAATAATTTAATACCAATCATATGTACCATGAATCCTGATTTGAGTGGACTAGAGAATGAAATCCGAGTGCTGTTCCCCATGAAATCCAATACCTCTTACCACAATGTAGTGCTGCGAGTTTCTCCACGAGTGTATCAAACCTTAAGGAAGAAGGGTAATTTTATCTATACCGACTGTGAGAGATGCCATATACACGACAAAGTATTAGTTAGGCAGTGCCAGAAATGTTTTGAGTTTAATCCAAGACATAAAATCAGCGAATGCTCCCATGAAAAGATTTGCCTAATATGCGGCGCGGCGGGAAATCATGAGTGTTCGCGTAAACAAAAATGTTTCAACTGCGCTAAACACCCGAGGTACAAGAATGGAAGGTCTCTTGATCACAAGGCGAACTCCAGCGAATGTCCCCTGTACAAAACCCAGATGGAAATAGTAATACAAAGAACTCAATACCATTCAGATGAATGATAACAATATCAGATGTATACAATTTAATGCAAGGAAAAGTATGATGGCAACTAGTGAGTTAGGTGTGACAATCGCAGACGATCTTCCTGACATCATATTTCTACAAGAACCATACATGTGCAATGATACAGTGAAATTTGGCAAGAATTCACGAATAGTATATTCTAGCACAGATAGGCAAATTTATACTGCTACTATTATTTTGAACCGCAACATAATATATGAGAAAATTAACAGGTTTACAAATTCCTTTTGTACAGCGATCTCTCTCTATTTCAACGGGAAAAGAATAGTTATTGCCAATATCTATATACACCCAAACTCAATGGCTGCATTTCATATCCAATTCATCTCAGAAATACTTGAGGCCTTTGGTCAACTCCCAATTATCCTTTGTGGCGATTTCAATTCAAGACATCCACTCTGGTTCGATTCAACGACAAATAAAAACGGATACATTCTAAAGTCTATTATCGAGGAGCAGAATCTATTTGTTCATAATCTTAAAATCCCAACTTGCAGAAATGCTAGCATAATCGACTTGACAATTTCTAATAAACATTCCATTGGTCTTATACATAACTGGAGAACCTCAGCACTTTCTGTTACCTCAGACCATTTGGCAATACTTTTTGATATCTTCAATATGATAAACTTGGCAAACAATAATAGACAGACATCGACATGGAAATTCAGAGAAAAATCGGCGAATTGGACCAAATTTGCTGAGAGTATTTCGCCTTCGGATTTACTGGATTTAAATTCAGCTTCTAAGCACATTGTCAATTGTGAAGATATTGATAATGTGGTAAACAAATTGACAAATTTAGTAATTGAAGCTGCATACTCTTCTCTCGACGTCAAGCATCACACCTCTATAAATACGACTACTTCCAAAAATTGGTGGAATAAAGAGCTTCAACAATTAAAAGAACATTTACATTATCTCAGGAATTTGTATTATAGAGGGGGTAACCTGAATCCGAGTATTTACAGAGCGGCAAGAAATAAATACTTAAGAGCCATCAATAGAGCAAAAAAGACGTCGTGGAAAATATTTATTGAAGAAAATGAGTCTACGAATGCTTTCGGGAATGCATACAGGATTTTTAAACGGTTAAGATCGGCCGATATTCAAGTGGGCATACCATTACTGAATAAAACTGCAGAATGCATGAGAGAGCAAAAGATGAAGGAAATGCTAACAGCATTTTTTCCTGATGATGATGTGCGGTTGGACAATGAAGAACACACTTTAATTAGAAATCACATCCCAAGTTTTACCAACAGGGAAATCATTTTTATTACTGAAAAGGAAATAAAGGATTTGTGCTCGAATCTTAATATCAGAAAGGCTCATGGTCCAGATAACGTGAGTAATTATATGATTAAGCACTCATTATTATCAATCCTACCCAGTTTAGTCAAACTCTTTAATGAGTGTCTGGTGCTGGGTTACTATCCTGAAAGCTGGAAACATTCGGTATTAAAAATTATTACGAAACCGCAAAAAGCTGACTACGAAGCAATTAATAGCTATCGCCCAATTTCACTAACATCAAATTTCTCAAAAATATTTGAAACGATCATTAAAAATAAAATACTCAATTATTATAATCATAATAACTTACTGAGCCATAGACAACATGGATTTACGAAAAGAAAATCTACAATAACGGCATTGGACAAAATAACCGAGACCATACTGAAACACAAACAAAACGAATTGGTTGCATTGATTGCCATTGATATAAGTGGTGCATTTGATAATGCGTGGTGGCCTGCCTTAATAAAAAGAATGGACGAAGACCACGTCCCAGCAGTTCTTATAAAAATTATCCAATCATTTTTAAATCGGAGAAGAAAAACAAGTCTCACCTTCTCGAATACAACAATTTCGAAATATTTATCAAAGGGATGTCCTCAAGGCGGACCATTATCACCTTTATTGTGGAATATAGTCCTGAATGATTTGTTGATCAACTTCGCATCCCCAAATTCTGAAATAATCTGTTATGCGGATGATGTTTCGATTGTTTGCTGGCACAAGACCATAGAAGGGTTAAAAAATGAAACAGAAAGAACTTTAAATTATGTAATACAATGGTGTACAAGAAATAAGCTAAAGCTAAGCCCGGAGAAAACCGGCTTAATACATATGCACGGCAAACAAAATATTCCAATGGGAACTCCAAATTTCATAATAAAACCAGTGGAAGAGGTAAAAATGTTAGGTATAAAATTTTCTAATCCCAGAATTAAGTCAAAAATTAACTTCACACCCCACATTAATGATATTCTTTGTAAAATCAACCGTATGAAAAATCTTTTGTTTTCGCTCTGTGGGAAGATGTGGGGATTGGATGCTAAAAAAAGATTAATTTTATATAAAACTCTTTTCAGGCCAATACTAACCTATGGATCTGAAATATGGTATAAATTTATTAATAAAAGAAGTAAGCAAAGATTAAACTCTCAGCAATATCAGATTCTTCTTTGGGTAGTGAGAGCCTATAAAACGACCTCATCAAATTGTATTCATAGTTTGGCAAAAATACCTATTCTCACAGATCAAATAGAATCGTTGATAATAAAATACGATTTGGCCAATTTATCAAAATAAGAAATTAATGTATTCAGACCGCATGCCCCGACTATAATTCATAACTACATAGAATCAAGAATGGCTGAAACAATAGCTAACACTAATGAAACATTCAGAAAATTTTTCCCATTTGGAATTCCTTTTTATTTTCGTCCGAATTTTTATAACTCACAGTTCGTCACGGGTCATGGTAATTTTGGAGAATTTCTGTCGAAAATCGGGGCAACGGATGATCCTAGCTGTTTCTGTGGAAAAGAAAACCAAGACTCAATGCATTTATTGATGGAATGTCCGATATTCCACAGCTACAGAAGTAATCATTTTTATCCCATCGAAGAGGTTTGCGAATTTGTATATAACAAAGACACTTATGTAAAATTCAATAATTTTTGTAAGTTCATTTTGGATTTTCTCTTCTGTTTAAGAAAACCATAGTTTCAGTTTTAATTGTGTTTTTAACCGGTTATTGTGTTGTATATACTGAATTGTATATAGGTTGCTAAAATAATTTATTTTGGATTTTCTCTTCTGTTTGAGAAAACCATCGTTTCAGTTTTAATTGTGTTTTTAGTCGGTTATTGAGTTGTATATAGGTTGATAAAATAATCCATTTTGGATTTTCTCTTCTGTTTTAGAGTGCCATCGTTTT